GAAATTCTGAAGGATCAGATTAAATATAGTTTAGAATAATATAGTATAAAATATATAGGAAAGAAAGTTATATAAACGGACAAAAAATTCCCAAAAAACAAAACAAACAATTCCATACCCTACAATCTTATAATATACGAATGAAAAATATTAAAAAAGCAACTATAGCTTGTACAAATTGTCAACTAAAGAAAGTACGTTGTTTAAAATATTAAGAAACTACCTGTCTACGTTGTTCAAGGAAACATATTGATTGTGTATACCTACCGCAATCTAAAAGGGAACCAAATAAGAAAAATAAAGAAACAAGCAATCGTAGATACATACAAGAAAGAAAGACAAACCTTCTTCCAAAAAATCCTTACTCTATTACCAATACAAACAAATACAATATCTTAAAAACCACTATTCCTCCTCTAATTTCAATTCTCTCTTCCATAACTACCGATTACAATATTCTGAAAACTCTCTTCCTACAAATAACCCTTCATTTATACAAATTAAAAATGAGTTTCAAATCATCAAAACCATCAATATCAACAAAAACTTTACTCTGAAATTAAACAAAAAATAAAAAATCATAACAAAACCTTTCTTTAAACTCCTAAAATCTTCTATAAAAACTTATTTCAAAAACATAATAATATCAATATTGATTATCTTTTTCTAAACAACTCACTCTTAACTGAACACAATGAAATTCTTAATACAATCCATAACCATTTCTCTAATTACTTTGACAAAAAATCTCTAATTCCAATTCCACCATCCTCTGATTTTTATAATCTATATCAACCACACTCAGAACTTGAACCACTTTATAATGATTTGCTTAATGATATTTCAACTCAGGAATGGCTAGAAACCATATCAGATTTACCAAATCAAAAAGTAGCAGGGCCCTCTGAAACCTGCTATGAACACATCAAATATGCTAGTCCAATAGCACAAAAAATCTTTCAGCTCTTTTTAAACAAATACTTTCAACTCTAAAAGGTTCTAACCAATTAGAAATCTTCTAATATCTTTCTTATTACAAAAAAATTTAATTGAGATTTTACTCTTAATCAAGTTCACCCTATATCTATTATAGAACCTTTTAAAAAAATCTTTACAAAAATTTTTACCAAATGGCTAGACAAAATCATCTTATCTAAAAACCTTATCTCCAATCTCAACTATGCAGCAACCAAAAACTCTTCAACACATATACCTATTCAAATTCTCCAAAACACTATAGAACACTACACTTTACACAACAAAGAGACCTAGATACTGTTTCAAGACATGTCTAAAGCCTTTGACAAAATTAATATCAAATGCTTACAAGAAGCCTGCCAAAGAATTGGCATTCCTTCTTCTAGTATAAATCTAATAACAGAGCTACATACCTCTCGTTTAGCAAAAATAATCACAGCCCATGGCCTAACACCACCAGTTTCTATCAAATCTGGTATTGAACAAGAAGAAACCTATTTACTAGTTACCTCTTCTTTGAAAGATTTATTACAACCCAATCCTACAATTTGTTTATACTAAATAAATTTTTTTTATTTTAATTCTACAAGCTATAGAATTGAAATAAAAAAATTTTTCACCAAGTTTGACCTGGTAGTTATCGAGTAACCTCTATTTAAAGTTTTAAAAAAATGATAAAAATCTTAGAAAATTCTTAAGAAATACTGTTACGATTATGATTTTTAAAAATTTCTCAATAACTACAAAACCAAATTTAACAAAAATTTTTTTATTTTAATTCATAGGTCTATAGAATTAAAACAAAAAAATTTTTATCGAACTTGGATAGTTAGCTATTGAGAAATTATCGTTTGAAGTTTAAATAAAAAAGGTAATTGCTTTCTTAAAATTTTTTAAAAGACTTGAAATAATGATTTCTTATGGTGCTTTGTGAAAAGATGTGACCAATAATTTTTGTGATGATAAAAGAGAAAAATTTTCCGAGATTCTAGATTGTATATTAATTCATATTTTTGATTAGTAATATTTATATTTATTTGAAATCAATAAGATTCTTAAAATCTACAGAATCTTCAATTTTCACACAACATTGTGATCTGCAGTAGTCATATCTTTTTGCAAAGCGCAATGATAACCATCAATATAAATTCAGTGAAAATTTTTTTATTTTAATTCTACATGTTTGTAAAATTAAAAAAAAAATTTTTATGAATTTTGAATAGGTAATTGTTGAGAAATATTAATTGAAAGATAAAAAAAAAATTTAGCTACAGCTTCTTTTTTACAAACATCAAACTTTGAACAAAAATTACTCGACACATATCTAACCAAATTCAATTAAAATTTTTTTATATTAATTCAACAATCTTATAGAATTAAAATAAAAAGAAAATTGATTGAATTTACCAGATATGTGTAAAGTAATCTTCATTTAAGTTTTGGTATCTGTAAAAAAAAAAACTGCAGCTAAATTTTTTTCTTATATTTTTCAACAACTACTTATCCAAATTCAATAAAATTTTTATTGAATTTGGTTTGTAAATTTTAAAAACTAAGTATTTTAAATGAAATTTTCTCAATAATTATTAGGTTAAAGTCAATAAAATTTTTTTTTTGTTTCAATTCTACAAGTTTGTAGAATTAAAATTGAAAAATTTTTATTAAGCTTAATCACATAGTTGTTGAGAAACTTTGCTAGAAAATACAAAAAATATCAAAGAATCGTCACATGTTTACATAGTTCAGCTGCCAAACCGGTAAAAAGGGTGGGTGAAAATCAGTAAATGCATTTGTTTTAAATTTCAAATTCAATTTAGTATTAAGCAATACAATTTCTATAAATAAAAAAAAATACTACATAAAAAGCAATTTCCAAACACTATATTGCTTTATAGAAAATAGATATTTTTTTTTTATATTTTAGTTTATTTTTATTAAGTCAAACCTAATACGTATTACAAGTTGGCCAATTAGTCTAAAACTTTGCCGTAATCAAGTTCCAAATTAAAATAACATCCAACTTCACAATAATACAAATTCTAGTTGCATATTTCTTATGAATTATCTGTATAATCAGATTTTGATGCATAATTTAAGATGCAGTAATTGTCTTGAATCTCAGCTGTAATGTTAATTCACTAATCTTGATTTTACTAATATAAATTAAGAATCTTTCAATCCTTGCTCATTATCATCAAGTTTTAGAATATTCATCTCTGAGCTCATGCTCACATAATGCTAATTAGAGATGAATTATAATAAAAAAATATTTTAGGTTAGCTATATACTTAAAATATATATTTATATAATAATACTTATCTTTAGTTATTTGACTACAATAAGACTTCTGAATAGATAGTATAATTAATAAATCTAGTGCAAAAACAGCATTCTAAAAAGCTACTCTAAGTCAACCAGTTTTTAATATAAATATAATAAAAATTATAAATCATATAATATTAAATGAATAATAAAGTAAACCTTATACTCTTCTGTTATAATAAAAATAAATTATTAAATTAAGCTCTAACAAACTCAATAATACTATAAATGCAATACGTATAAATTAATATAAAACAATATGATCTCATAATTACTACATAATTTATGCGGTCTACCTTATAAAAAGTATCTCATAACATATATCATCTTTTTTATTTGTCCAGATTTGATTTTAAGATTTTTCTCAAAATTTTTTGAATGATCACAATGATATAACTTTTCAAAACATTCATTAATAGATCTAAATTTAATATTAAACCTTTTAAAAACAAGTATACTATATATTTTAACATCTGATATTAAAATCACACAATCCAACCTTGATATTTTGCAACGTGCCTTACCTCAAGATTATGATTATACTATTGATTTGTTTAATAAAATTCAGGTATCTAATTTTTTGGATACATATAAAGAACTATTTGAAATGAATTTTCGTATAAACATTTTTATCATAGACGATGCCAAATCTTGGCTTGATAAGTTTTATGTTTTGCATAAAGTAACCATAAGAGAAACTCAAGGACGAGTTATTAAAGGTGTTCGATATCTTTATTCTAAATATTTTACTGCATCCATAGTCATACAGTAAAATTAAAATAAGGAAAAAGTGCTATTAATAGTGAAGTAAATGAAACTATAGAAATAAAAAAAAAGAGTAAAGTTAATACACATGTGTGAAATACTGAGTGCTCAGCAATACTTAGAATAAAGGTTCAAACCAAATATGATCCTTATTCATGTATAGTTTCACTATTTTTTCATCATAATCATCTACTTATATCAAGCTACACCATGAGCTTTCGCCCCATATCTGATAATACAAAAAATGTATTCTTTAAACTTTTTAACACTGGATATAATCCTGTAAGTGCATATAATACATACATGAAAAAGATTCAATTGAAATATGATAATGATAAGGTAGTGATGGCTAATAGAGTAGTATATTCATGTAAGTATAACATCTATAACCTTCATCAAAAATTTTTAAGCAAGTCAGTTGATGCACAAAATAGAAAAGAAATATTTTCTTGTTTAGCAAAGAAGATTGCTGAATTTAATAATAGTAATAAAGAAAATATGTGGATGCAGCCATATATCACACTAGCAGATAATAATCCCAGACAACTTTTTATATTAGTCATTATAATGAACCTTATGAAATGCTGTTACTCTTTATAACAGGCTAGTGAATTAGTCTACATAGATACTATGGCTACCTTTAATGTTCTCAATACTTCATTAACTATTATCTCAACAAATACACCTAGTAGTGGCTTACCTCTTGCCGCAATATTAATATCAGATGAGACCGCAATTACACTCACGAAGGCTCTAGATGTACTAAAACATATAATGTCTTCATTTGTATTTGATAGGCGTAGACCCATTATTGGGCCACAAGTTATAATGATCAATGATTCTAGTGCAGAAAGAAAGACATTGCACAATACCTGAGAAAAGACAACCATGTTGCTATGTATTTTTCATTTCTTGCAGGCAATGTGGAAGTAGTTATGGAAAAGAAGACATAATATTTGTATGAGTGATCATGTCATTCTTATTGAAAATCTAAAAAAAATTGTATTTGCGAAAACTGAGACAACACTTGAAAAAGCATATATAGAACTTATAACAAGTCAAACATACCTAAAATATCCATATTTTCAAAGACATTTTAGAACTGTGTAGGATCATTGTAAGGAAAGGGCTATTTTATTTCACTAGCAATTACCAATCTGTAACAATAATACAAACAACTTTGCTGAGACTGAAATATGGATTATAAAGAATATTATTTTTGAATGAATTCAGGTATTTAATATAGTGCAAAATTTTCATTTTATTATCAATATGATGGATTTATATTATACTCACAAATTTCTATCTGTAGCTCATAATAGGCTAGACAATTTTATTGCATTATGATTTTGTCTTTCAGATAAAAATAGTAAATGTTTTTATTAAACAATTAAAAAAAAAAAAAAGAAAACAGATAATAATTAAAGTTCAAATAATTAAATTTATCTCTACACTCATAGGTTAGCAAATTGGATTAAAGAATGATATTGAAATTATACAATGTTATTTAAACATAAAAGTAAAAAAAACTGAATATATGGTACCCATAGATATGAAACTTGAAATATGCAAATGTAATTCAACAGGAGCACCCTGTAGGTATCAATCTTCAATAGTAACTCTTTACTGAATTTGCAGCTTAAATCAAATACTCACAATGTCAGTGAGTAGCAGGTATTACTATGCTTATTTGGCATTAGGTAAAAAATGCCAAGAACTTGGGTTTTATGCAGATCTCCATCAAGCACATCTTGAACAAGGGCCTACATATACTGAAGAAATTAGAGGTATTAATAATTGTATAATTTAAATTTAATAATATATAAAAAAAATATACTTATCAAATTTAAATCTTCATTAGCACATCTTGAACAAGAACAAGAACTCACATATACCAAAGATATTAGAGGTATTAATAATTGTGTAAATTAAATTTAATAACATATAAAAAAAAAAGCTTATCAAACTTAAATCTCTAGGGTTTTCACAATCTTCAAGCAACGAAAGCACAAGTGATAATAAATCTGATAGTTTAGATAAAAATATTAATAGCGATGCAAGTGAAAATGAAGATAATCTTCACCAATTAGCTATAAATAAACTTCAGTGGTTCTACTATAATCTTGAAGATCTCCTTAAAGAAAATGACCCAACGCTTAATAAAAGTATACTTAAATTTGTAAAATTTTACAAGCAACATCACTGCTTACAAGATACTTATATCCGATCTTCAATATCTTCTTTTTTTCAATCATGTAACTAGAATAAAGGTCGAGTTAATAATAATAGTCATCAATGAGGAGGCAAGAGAATTAGAGTTCAAGTTATTGTAGCTACTAGATGCAGAAAAAAATCAAGTTATGGACTTAAAAAAGTCTGACAGGGAAGGCTAAAAAATAGTATATATAATGAGCATAAGAATGAAACACAAGAAAATCCACACCATTTTCACAAAAAAATTGGCTAACAAAAAGAGCTCATGACTTACAACAAGCTTTAAAGAAAAACTGACCAAATAGGATCTAATAAAATTTGAAATTATGAAATAGGGTTATATGCATGCTTAAAAACATTTTGTTAAATATTAAGATACTTTAAATATGTTATATTTAGTTAGCATTACTGGTAGTTAGCTTTTTCAATTAAGAAAAAATATCCTATGTTAAGGAATAAGTATAAAATTTATATGTATTGTTTTATATAAGATTGTATTTCACATAAGAATTTTATAAAAATTTGCCACCTCTGCAGTTTTATAACCAGTTCTATATATGCATGTACATAAGTTCATTGAACATTACATGATCATCATCATGTGAACTCAAACTAAGTACAGATTATAAATTCGCTATATTTGATATATTTTTATATTGGCTTTCTAAATACTTTCAATATATTAAATTAATTTAATTAAAACTGAACACTTGCAAAATAATTTAGAAATAGTTAAAACAATGCGAATTAACCAAAATAATATTACTTTTTAAACTAATTATTATATTTAGATATGTAAAAGATCTTGAATAAATTAATATACTTAAAAACAATTTATAAATATATATAGAAATTTACTGAACATTCTGTATTATCTATTGTTATATAGAAGCATTTCTTGATTTTATGTAATCAGATTAATAAATAAAAAAAACATATATAGTTTTAATATAATTAAATGTAAGAGGTTTATATATATCTAATAAAAGCAAAATCTTTACCTATTTTACAAATAAATTATTAATCTAAACCACAAAAACACTAAAGGAAGTAACAAAAATCAGGTGATTTTTTAGAAGAAGAGGTGTAAAAAAAGTTAAAATTATATATAAAGACCTGATTAAATATATAATAAAAAGGGAGAAAGGAGGGTATGCCTCTGATAAAAAAAATTAGGTGATAAATGACACTACTCTAAACATTTATGCACGGTTGCGATTTTATTTAAATAAAATTGAAATGATTAATGAAAATAAATGATAGAAAAATTACAAAGTAGATAGTAGAAAATCAATATATTTTAAAAAGTTTGCAATAATTTAAAATAAATCAAAAAGTACAAAAGAAATTTATTAAAAATATCTTTCGAATAAATTTAAATAAATTTGAAATATTTTAATATTATTTAAATTTATCAAATTTAATATATTAAATACATTTGATATATTTATATATTGATTTTCTAAATGTTTTTGACATATTAAAATAATTTAATTAAAACTAAACACCTGCGAAATAATTTAGGAATAGTTAAAACAATGCAATTTAACCAAAATAATATCACCTTTTAAACTAATTACTATATTTAGATATGTAAAACATTTTGAATAAATTAATCTGCTTGAAAACAATTTATAAATATATATAGAAATTTACTGAACATTCTGCATTATCTATTGTTATATAGAAGCATTTCTTGATTTTATATAATCAGATTAATAAATAAAAAAAACATATATAGTTTGAATATAAGGGGTTTATATATATCTAATAAAAGCAAAATATTTACCTATATTGCAAATAAATCATTAATATAAACCACAAAAGTACTAAATATTTGTATACAGTTGTGATTTTATTTAAATAAAATTGAAATGATTAACAAAAATAAATGATAAAAAAAAGGGTGTGGCAATTTAGTAAAGTGGTGGAGTTGTCGCACCCCCAAATGGCAGGTCTAGAGTTCGAATCCCATGGACAACGATTTTGAAAAAACTAGATCTGTATCGGTTAATGTTAAGATTATCAGTTGGATCCAGACATCTGTAATCTTGATCACACCATCTCGAATAGGAGCTTCGGCATAATAAATCCAGGAAACCGGAATTACTAAAAACCCGTTTGGCAAGTCCCGAGTTGGGAGTAGCAGCGATCTTTGACAGTGCTACAGGAAGACTGAATTTGGAACCGGAAACTGAGACCGGAGAACCGAGCGACCAGGTCCTTAAGTGGAGGACACACTAGCCGAACCGCCAGCTCGCCATCGGAGGAAAAGGACTTGTGCTCTGGAAGCATGTACCAAAGGGAGGGAGACTATAAGGCACCTAGAGCCTGGGCAGACCAACCCTTCTGGGTTGCTAGCTGGAAGTAAGGGAGGGACCGATAAAGAATCCGGAAAAGAAAGAAGTTGAAATGTGGGTACTGAGGTTGTTGTGAACCTTGCAAGAGCAGGTATACATAAGTGAAAACTAATTAGGAAGGTTGTGGCTTGAGATACAAATCAGGTTATGGTAGTATTTGAAATGATAGCTTGAGATACAGAGCCAGTAGCAGCAGCACAACATGTACTAGTTGAGGAAAGTTACCAAACATGCAGGTGAGTACATGTGTGGGACATGTACTATTCTGTTAGGTTTACTACAAGGATAAATGCCTATGTGGCTAAAGTCTTAGGGTCCTTACACGGCATTGCTAATCTCATTAAGAGTGTTAGGGTAAAGTGTGTTACAGAAATGGAGCCAGAGGATTTAAATAGGTATCCCCATAGTTAGGTGCAGGTACGGCAGCTAGTGTGGAACCTAGGGCAGACTACTTAAATAGGTAACCAAAAGTTGTATGTATGGCTAGTTGTACTCTCGTTAGTTAAATAATCAGAGAGCTTAGTAATAATAATATCCTGATCTGTTGGGTATTAGTGGGGCTGAAAGTTCCGCTAATTCACATACGGTCAGAGTATTATTAATTAATACTCCCGTGATCTTGAATAGTGATCGGGGTATTAAATAGGTAATCTTCTAGTTAGGTTGCAGGTATGGTGGCTAGTGTAGAACCCAGGCGGACTAATTAAATTAGGTACCAAAAGTACATGTGTGGCTAGTTGTATTCTCGTGAAATTGATGTAATATCGTACTTATCTGAATAAAGCTAAGTGCCAGGGACCTAAGTAGTCACCTTAATATTAAAAAAAAAAAAAAAAGAACCAAATTAACAAAAAAAAAGATTTTTGAAAAATTAATTTTTTTTTTTTTTTTTTTTTTTTTTTTTTTAAGTGGGGTCTTTTCCTTAATTCCTTTATTATTTGTTATACAAAGTTAATTTACAATCTTGTTTACATAAGTTTTTAGGAGAAATGAAGATTAAGCTAATTTATTTCAGATCTAAACCTTAGCTAGGTAAGTCAAAAACCTCTAGTCTATAAAATTGGGCAAGAATAAGGGGAAGTATATAAGTCTATGTAATTTAGTAACCAATGGTTGTAAATAAGTTAACTTGTTAGGTTTTGGATATGATTGGTGTGTCAAATGTTGGTGGTTATTAAAGTAAGTTTTGTTGATTGGTATTAGGTTGCTTGATGAAGTTGAGATCCGGCTAGATATTCAGATTTTTTTTCTTATTTCAGTAGTTAGCTTATTGTAGAATTCGGGTACCAGTTGCATGGCTTGACTAGGCAGTTGAAAAGGTAGAAGCGCTGAGGTAGTGATGAATCCAATCAGGAGATTGTTGTTGAGGTAGATGTTATAGAAGGCTTGAATAAAGGAATTACGATTAGTAATATTTGCATTATATTTTAATGCAATGTGGTCAATGCAGTCAGGGATTTTGCCTAAAATGGACAGTGTAGATCGCATCTTGTATGGTATAGAAATGTCGATCACATGATTCTAGATTATTTGGTTGCATAAAAATCATATGTGATTAATCAATCAAATTTAACTACAACAAAATTTGCTTATTAATTAAAAGAAGTTAGTTTCCATCTACTTTTTTTATAATTGTTTATTTCGAGTGATCAAATGGGATTATTTAAAGTAGATATCTTATAATAGCTATTTGTATCTTGTTTGATATCGAATAAATAAATAAAATATCAAATGATCCCATGTTAATAAAAAATGTTACATAGCTAATCAAATTCACAGAATGATACAGAGATTATTCTAGAATTTAATTTTTTAATTTAGTAAAATTCCTGACTGTATTACTATAATCTTTTTCTGTATTATTATTAGAACTTTCCTCTGTATTATTACTAGAACCTTTCTCTGTATTATTGCTAGAGCCTTCTTGTGTATTAATGCTAGAGCCTTTTTGTATATTAATACTAAAACCTTCACTAATATCATTTAATTCTTTGTGAATATATATATAATTATATAAATTTGTTTGTGGTTCAAGTTGATCATAGTCAAAAATTAAACAGTCTTCTTTTCTATCCTGTGAATTAAAAACACTATAGCACTTAAAAGATTTATAAATAAGCATAAGATTTATACTGTTCCATGCATCTAATAATTAAATTGTATGCAGGATATTGAATATGACCTTTTTTAGTAAAAGTATAAATTTCACTGGCTATTCAATCATTATAGTAATTTCGCATCTATATGTATCAAATAAATAAATAAATAAATCTATTATATTTATTTATATAATATATAATTTGTATACTTTACTTCTGCTTTAAATGATTTGTTAATGGCAACATCTAATAGTTGAACTTTTGAGGTTTAACTATATCAGTAATATAAGTAGTGAATAAATTTAAACCTAAAATAAATGTGAGTCTACTAATATTCTTGATTACAAATTTCACATATTTTTTATTCACTATAACATTCTATCTTTATTCATCCATCCTTTAGAATTTGTATATACAAAAACTCTAGCAGAAAATACTTGTTATAGAACATTAACTAATTTAAAGATAATAACTAGAGCAATTTAGTCCCATTGGCTAAACAAGTAAGTATAACAATAAAACATGATTTTTTATGTTTACAGGTCCGAATTAAAACTGTATTTGCACCACAATTATCAATTGTAGTATTA